GCTTCTTGTAAGCTGCTCGAAGGATGCTTCGGATGAAAATAGCGCGGCACTCGCGCCTTCACCGCGCGATACGATTGAAACCATTGTGTTCTGTTTATTGTTGCGTCGTCACGTTTACTTTCAACGATTTTCAGACACTTTATTCCTTTGCCGCGCTCGTTTGTCGGTGGATGAGGTCCCCAATTCACGCGTCGCCGCTCAAGAATTAATCTTTTTTTTCGTTTGAATATGAAAGGAATCCCGATTTGCGCAGCTTCGAGGAGCCGATGATTTACATAACGGCGAAAAAGCTTCGGGTCTTCCACCCTCCTTTTTCACGTGACATTACTGCAATTTGTAAATTCAAGTATCCTCTTGCTTTGTGCTCCATCTGTGTATAGCAGCTGACGTTTTCGAGCGATTGTTTGAAGATCAAGTTTTCGTCTGAAGTTCGGTGGGTTTGCGCGTGAATGATTATTTTAGGATGTTTGAGGGTGTTATTTAGTGTGTTATCGTTAGGTCGGAAGCATTTGTTATTTTTGGACGTTTTTGTAACAAACGAGGTATTGTTCAATGGAATTCGATGTAAATTCGGAACTGTATGAGATTGCTCTAACAGACACAGTGGTTTGTTCAATTATTCAGGATTGTGTCAAATCTTTTTTTTCTGTAATGCATTTTCTATGTTTCAGAAAAATTTACGATCGGCTACGAGCAATGCTAAATTTTTTATTAGTTCCAATGGGGATTGGTAGAAGAGATTGTTTCGCGGTCCCCGGGAAATTCTACGTAACTCTACAATTTTATTTACCTCGCAGACTTTATACTATTCTGAAAATACAGTACTGCCCCCGTACGGAATTTTATGTGTTTACACTGTATGAATTATTTTATAGATGATGTTAATGAAAAATCGAAAATATTTGTGCAGAGTCTCGGTATTTTTACTCAAATTGTAATTTCTGTAATATTCGGTACAGAGTTCGGAGCCTACAAATGTGATACTTTTATTGTGGTCATAAAAAGCATTTCTAGTGGAAGTAAAAATGCGATTATAAACGTAATAAACGTTATTAAACATCAGTTTAAAATTATTTTAAAATAACGTTTTCACGCTTCACAATCGTATTAATCCGTTCCACTTTTATTAAGGCGATAAGAATTATTCAAACACAACATGGAAATCCAATTCAATGACAACGTTTTGAAAAATGCTCGGCTCATTTAACCCACGGACAGGCCGGCATCAGCATGAATTCCACAGAGTCAATATCCTTTTCTCAATGGTACGCAAACTTAACCCCTTTCATCGATTCAAATCGAATAAAATAAACACGAATATGATTTTTTTCCTTCGATTCAGAACAAAATATTATCTTATTGCCATCAATATTTAACGTTTAAAACATAACTTAACACGAAAACTACCAGACGGGTCAAAGTGACACAATCCTGATTTCTTCATTTTGGAATTATTATAAAGATGTCAGATGTTTCTCTGAGAAATAATTAAAGAATTTAATCTAGTAACACGCAAACTGAATTGTAAATCAACTAAAGTTTCAATAGATGCATTCTTGGAGTTTCTACAGAGGAACTTCAAAAAGTCAATTGAACTATTCGGTAGTTTTACTGTTAACAACGAACTTAAAGAAATTAGAACTTAACGTTCAACTACTTGCTTTGACATCAACATCAACGATATCCCAATATCTCCAAACCCAGCTAAATTCCTTTTTATTAATACTTCACCGGTGAACACAAATTTCACGCAACCAATCAGATATCGTATCGCCCGCGCGCATCTGACGAGCCAATAAAATCGTTGATATCCAACTTTCAAATGGGGAATGTCGACTGCGCTCGCTGGACACGGGAAACTCGCATCAATGTTAACGGCAGGATGTTACGTGTAGGCATTAAAGAGTTTAGTAACGGCCTGTATATCGCGAATTGTTGATGCAAAAATGGAGTAATTCAATTTCCGTGTAACAAACGGGCCGGGGATTAAATGAAATGGCCGAATGGGCGGCCGCCACGCTTGCCGAGAATTGAATCCCGTTGGAACGGTACATAAATCTTCGCGATGCGTAGCCATTGTTCTTCGGAGGACACGATGGATTCTTTTCCGCGCGGAACCCCGTGAATATCTAACGGAGTTTGCATAAATAACGAATTGTTGAATAACGGTCGGCCGACGAAAATCACCGGCCGACAAATTCGATGGACGCGTCGCCGGGCGACGCTGAATCGCAAATGTGCGACGGACGATTCGCGAGATTTGCATTCAGAAAATGATATGTAGTTAGTCGGTCTACGCTCGGTTCTACGCTCGCTGCCTCCGGCTCCCATCTTTCTTGCCCCCCAACTCTTTTTCCAACTTTCTGTATCGTTCGGTCTCTTTTCCTCTCGTGCGTCAAACCGAATTCATTGCGCGCGCGCGATTTATCGAGCAGAAAATTTACATGCTTGCTCAAAAGGGTCTCCTTATAAAAATTCCGAATGATTCTTAATGAGATTAAAATATTAATCCGCTAGAACAGTGTCAACGAGCTTGACGATGGACTCGCAGGTCAATAATCTCGTGTGCGATCGTACCTAGGTTTTCGTTACGTCTCCCTTCGGCTTCTTTTTACGCCGTTGTTATCGGGGTTAATTAACGTCCATGTCTACAGGACGCTATTAACGGAATCGGAGACTTTAGTCACTGGCCGTGCGACGGAAAGGTGGAAAATATCTGTGTCAGTTTGCGCTGAACCAGCTGGAGTAGGTTATCGCATGAATTTTGCAAGTTGACGGTTGATGATTGACCACAATATAAATAAATTATTTGTTCATTTTTGGGTTAACTGGGTTACGGTTAAAAATGATTCGGTGAATTTTTGCTACGTCGCTTAATTATTTATGCTGCGACAGAATTCTGAAGCTACACTTAGGGTCTAGGTATTCTTGTGAAATTTAATTTAGTTTAAAGTAACTGTTATTTTCATTTTTTATTTAATAATTGTGCAGGATATTTATACTTCAATTAACCAATCTAAAAGATATTTATGTTTTAGTAAAGATTTCAGCAAGATGCTGTAGGGATCGTGAGAAGAAATGGGTGTTTGATCGATTCTGTCTTTTCGTAACCGAAATACGAAGATGTGACTTTACACAAACACCATAATCTACTTACATCGAAGGTCGAAAGTTTCCTATGCAATTATACTTTACAATCTCTACGCACAGCTGTGTATAAGGTGTTCTACAGGTTTCCGTACAAACTTACGATAATCTGTTCTACGTCTAAGGATAAAATCGAAATGTAAATAGAGATCCTAAATACTTCATTGAAGGATTATAATATAGGTATGAAACATAATTGTAATAAAAGTATGGCGATAGAGTTCTTTCTGGTTCAGCACAATAAAAATAAGAAGGTCGGTAGAGCATATGACAAAATTAAATAATATCGCAACGAGATTCTAGAATAAACCCCATATTACGCGTACATCAAACGTACATCAATAATAGCGTGTGACACATTGAAATATGAAGATGGTTACAACATTTCCATCACGTTCCATATTTACCTCATAATCTCGTAATAAATGATCTACGGATTACTGATCATGCAATGCACCGACGAAATTCGCATGAAAATCTCCGGCGCACTCCGTTTAAAAAATAATGGCATAATGTTTCGGACAACAATAACATAAATCCAAATAAACGAACGTGTTCAGTTGTAACATGGAAAACTGAATCATATTTCAACGGGATATTATCCAACCAGCGAAAACGCGAACCGTTAACGCGTTAAGTTAAATCCAGGCTCGATTCGACGTAAATCAAACAAAAGCGAACGCCGAAGTATCACGCGGAGTGCGCCGATGTACACGATAACAGAAATTTCCCAATTTTCCTTGGTAATTCAAATTAATCAACGGTGCACGAGGTTCCGGTCCGCTCGCCGAGTAAGATGAAAAATTGATTAAACCCTCGCTACGAGCTCCGCGAACGCGTAAAGCCCGCGATCTAATTACGAGAGACGGTTTGATTGTCAATGAAATCTCATTCGTCAGGCGGGTGAGTCATCGTCCAGAATAACCTTTGTTATCGTACGTCTTCCCGTGCGCGTATAACACGACAGTCCGGATTGTCCGTTGATTGATCGGTTGGCTTAACGGCCGTGCAGAACAAGAAAGTCACCGCTCCGCGTTTCCGATTGAAATGTTTCGCGGATAATTGGCTGAAAGAAGAAAAAGAAGAAAAAAGGGATGGGAGGGAAAAAAACAGGAGCATCGACGCGATCGCGAAAGCCTTACACGAACGGCCTAGGCGCGCAGATAAACGCATTATCATCCGCTGACACACAGGGTTCCGCGCGCCGCGGAATAAGGTTTCGCTTTGTTGATCGAACCCGCTGCAGGCCAGTCAACACAGCTGAACCTCCTTCGGGATATTCGCTGCGACAAAGCGTCTCGTCGAAACGGGCAAATTGGATTTATCCCGTCTTACTCCGGAACGCCATTAACCGACATTGCTTAACGTCGTTTCGCTGGCCGCTCTTTAAAAATCGTTCTCCAAACGCCGATCGACCCTTTGACCCGCTACAAGCGCGCACAACATGTCCAATAACGTGCACGAAATGTCGCTGTGGTAGATAACGTTCATCAAAACGTGAATATCACAAGCCATCCTCATCGGTTCTCCAATAGAATATTCGGAAATGGAGACTCAAAATAATCGATGTTCAAAAAACACTGTTTTCAAAGCAGAAGAAAAAGGAAATTTTGTCAGCGATAATTGTTTTCATATTTCAAACGTATACTCAAAATATTCGAAGGATTACGTTTTAAGAAACTAGATTCACGTCTATGGTGCCCGCGTGTAACGGGACGAGGTTCGGCAGGACAACCAAGGGTGACACGGCGAGACGAGCCGCGCCGCGTAGCCGTGGCGAGGACTCAGCTAGCAACTGGGCGAGGTGAAGCGTTGAGAAAGTGCATATCTCGTAACGTGCGATAGGGACTCACTTTCAGCGCGGATATGTGGTACACGGTTAGCCCTCAACGGGACCAGCTCTCGGCCGCCGAACTCCGGTGATCCTCGAGGTGACGAGCCCGGTATCTAGTTCCAGCGCACAATTACACACCGCCGCCGTTTGAACGGGACGTGACACACACGACGGACGGGCGACCGACCGACCGACCGACCGACGCGATAGAGGATCGCCGGATTCTCAACCCTCAAAGGAGGGCCGCGATCGGGGGATACATGATACCCCGTGCACGTTATATCCACTACGGGTCGCCTGGCAGCCGCTGTTCAATCGAGAATCCCAGTTACTTCGCGGACGCACGCGACCACGTCTCGAAATCACGTCCAAACCAGTCACCGAGCAAGGTTTCCCTGCGAACCCTTTTCGATTCCTCGACGAAGGGGCTCCCTTCTCAGTCAGACACCGATGAAAACTCTTCACTGATATCACCACTCACGGTACACAGTAAAACTCTCACTTCGCGTTCACGCACCGGGGGTAGGGAGACACGGGGAGAAGACAGCGATGTGTCAGGATTGGAATCAGTCCGAAGAAGGTTCCCTCTCTCGCGAGAAGGGAGAGTGGCAAGGTAGGGAGCGCGCGAGGAGGCAAGAGAGTTTCTGTTCTCTCGCGACAAAAGTGTGTCACGCGAGAGGAAGAAACCAGCAGCACCAGCAGCACCAGCAGCACCAGCAGCAGCAGTAGCGGTAGCGGCAGCAGCGGCGGATCGAAACGAGCCGAGTCGTCGTGGTCGTCTTCGAGACGGTTCAAACGGAATCAGTTTCTTCGCTTCAAATTAGTCCTATATCCCTCGGTGTTGTTCATGCAGGTGCCTGGACGGTTTCTTGGGTCGCGCGCGCACAACAGAGAACCACCACTCTCGCTGGGGTAGCTCGAACGATGCGGCTCGCGACACAGTCGAAAAAAAGAACGTATATATGTATCCTCAGATTTGTCGTGATGTGTCACCGAAAACCACCGTGCATACGGTGCACTCTCTGTCCGCTGTCTTCCTCTCTCCCTCTCCCGCTCCTTCCCAGTGTCTCTTTATCTCTCCTCCTCTTTCTCTCTCTTCCTCTCTTCCGTGCGTGTACGCGTATACGCGTGTTTACGCCGTCGCGCGAGCGTGTCCACCGTCTCTCAAACGGCTGCCACAGAAGCGGAAACGACGGTCGCGCGCGATTCGATCCTGCGGCCTACACGGCGTCCGAACTCTGCTCGATCCTGGCCGCTGACGCGCACGGGGCGTCGGGCAGAGGCACACGGAGTGGCACAGATACACACAGAGACGTACACGGAGAGAATACAGAGGGGTCGGTCGTAACGCGCGCGGTCACGGGACACGGGAATGAAAATTCTCGCTGGAACCGATATACGCACCAGCCCTAGGAGAGACCCTTAGGCCGGATCCGCGGAGTTTCCTTTCACCTCGATTTTCGGTCCCTTGCCACCCCCGCGCGAATTGCACAGGCGCGAACCGCTCTCGGATTCTCCGAGGCTCGAGCGCCGCGCACGTCGCGGTGGGGGGTTGTTAGCGCCCTCTTCGTCCCGCTGGCAGCCTATATACGCGCGATGTGTAGCCGACGGAAAACCAGCTCTCTCCTCGATGCTGCTACTGCTGCTGCTGCTGTCTGCTGCTGCTGCTGCTGCTGCTTGAGCAAGAAGGAGACACCGGATACCTCTCTCTTGCTCTTTCTGTCTGTCCTCCCTTTCCGTCGTTCCCTCTTGGAGCGAAGAGTGGGGGAAAAAGGGGGATACGCGGGCGAGGGAGTTCAGAGGAGGGCCGGTCGCCTGCCTCCTACGTTGGGAGGAGAAGATTCTACGCGTACACGGCTAGGAAGCGGCACCACCAGCCGGCATGCACCAGTACTCTGACACTGGGCCTCCGTAGGGTCTACGTACTTTAGTATTTACGCGGAACGAGGACCGGTGCATGTGCGTATGTATACACGTACACCGTCGAGGGAAGGGGTTGTATATACTATGGTGTTTGTCAGAAGCGCTACTACCGCCATCGTTACCACTACCATTCGACGGTCTACAATCGTGCTCGGCTATCGTTGCTACTGCTGGTAGCTGTCTGCCGACGGCGATTCCGATGTACATTCGTGCCGGCGGAAGCTAGTCGCTGGTGCTGCTGCCGCCGTTGCTGCTGCTGCTGCTGCTGCTTCTCCGCTAAGCGGCCTGGGTGGGTGTGGTGGGGTTGAAGGGGGTGGCGCAGGCGTTTTGGTGCACCGACGCATTGATCCCTGGAATTCGTAGGGACGGTGACTAGGGCCAAGCATGTGTCCACTTTCGATGCTAGACGAAGAGAAGAGAAGAGGGGGAGCAGAGGAGAGAGAGGCGACTTGGTGAATAGACCGAGAGGGACATCGAGGGTGGAAAAGGGGCGGCTGTCGGAAGAAGGAGAAGGGACGCGAGGGAGTGGGAACGGCGGAGGAACAATGAGGTTGAAGGAGAGGAGCGAAACCGTTTTACTCGCGGCCGATGTCCACACCTGCAGGCCGAGGGATGCGTTCGAGGTTGATGGAATGTCCGCGCGATTGAAAATCTTCCCGCTTCGAATCGGCGTCCATCCAATCCCCTACCCGGTTACTCTTCGATCTACCGGTCCGCGCGCCGAAACTGTACCCGTGCGCCGCGTGCTCGACGCTGCGACGGGGATTTCCCAGATGACGGATAATGATGATGGATGGGAACCGGGGTTGCCTTGGTCCGCGCGGTGCCGCGGGAGGAAGCCGGTTAGAGATGTAGGTGAGCAGGGTGGTGGGTGGAGGTTTTAAAAAAATTGCGCAGGGAATTTCGATAATTGTGCGCGGAGGATAACGGGATTCGTCCCGCTGACGAGGATGGATGTCCTCGATGAGAAACGGCGGAACGGGCCGCGGCGCGGTGGCCGTGATTCACGCCTATTTCCCTGGGTGGAAAGGAGAAAGAAGGATGTAGATGTATCGTTGCGATATTTCGAGGGAACTCCTCCGTCAGCGGGACGAGTAATCGCGGTTTTAATCACCGCGACCTCGCGGTTCCCTTGGAACTGATCGCTTCAACGGGGGTAAGACGTCGGCGAGATAGACGGCGAAATATAGACGGACCCATCCGGTTGCTTGTTTAAAGTCAGCTCGTACAGGAAAAGCAAGAAGTTGAACGGCTAATCTGCGAAATTAAGAGGAAGTCAGTCCCCGTGATTCCTTTCACGTGAATCCCATCGATTTTATAAATGTCCGCCTCGCCGGCCGAGGCTCCCTTTTCATTCGGCCCCCAACGCAAAAATCGTTCGTTAATTAAGAAGGTTGATTCGACGGGTCACGGCAGCCCAAAGAAGTCCGTGTAACAACCCCGAGGCCGGTCTGGCTGGAATCGTCGGTGGAAGGGGCTGCCAACGGTTCAAGGGGCTGGATTGGAAGCGGTGAGGTGCGCGGGGTGACGTCAGTGTACTTTTCTTTCAGCAGCGATCGCGGTTTTGCCAATCCGGTAAAAGGGTCTCCTTCAACGCCTTCGACGGTTCCTCATCGATTTTACGATTCGCCCGATCGTCAACGGTGCCGCGCCGCGTCGGAGGTTCCCGGGGCATCCGACGGGTAACGCGGAGCAGCCGCGCCGACACCGGCGATGGTTTCTATAAAATATTCAAGCGCAGGCAGCGTACAGATATATGTGCCGATAGTGAATAAATAATAAGGACGGCGGGGGTGATCCTCGATCGGTTCATAACTCCGTTCCGTTTCAGTGCTCCTGATCCATTCGTCGACCTCTCTAACGAGAGTTCCGCACTCGAAAAGCGTAAGTTTCCTCCGCGAGCTTATATAGGATGAAAATTTCAAAATGAAAAGAGGGGTTGCGAAGGACGGGAGGAGCGAGGGGGCGGAGAGAGGATGGAAGGAGGACGAGAGAGGAATAGCACCGGGTGGGAGACGAGAGTCTCCATAAATGTTCGGGATGCTGCTGCCGGGAGAATTATGTATCTGTCTTTCAGATGCACCAACCGTATTAATAATTCGTTCTCCGTGACTAATGCGACCACGCTCCGAAACGTTTTCTTCCCGCGGACTTTGTTTGCTGACGTGTTATTAGGTCTATGAACGAGACGCGGCGTCGTTCGGCCCGGTCCCCTATTCACGACACTGTAACGCGGCCCGAGATAAGGGGATTTATTCGTGACGTAATTGTTATCTGGGACCGTTTCCCGTTTTACGCCCGGTTTATAGATCACGATCGCGCCGGAGAAATTTACATTTTTTAATGTAAAACGTTCCCGTGCGCGAGGTGCCCTCCCCCCACTCCGGCCGGTTTCCACTTACGAGTGTCGGGGCTGTTAACTTTTTAGAGGGCTCTGTAATAACAGAAAGCTACGACAAACTGATATTACTAAGCCCCTGGTGGAATATGGCGGATGAAAAATTACTTCCGAGTTTATTTAGTGCTCGCGAAGTATGCGGTGTCATGAGCGGACTTGGTTTTTTTGTTTTTTACGTCTCCCCTACCAGATGCGCATTTTGTTTATAATATTCGTTAAGGAGATGTATGGTTCTTTAAAAAATGTTGCTGCTTTTGCAGTTTAATCCGCGCGCGAGGTAGCGTTGTTTCGTATTCACCGTCGCGCTAAGAAAGGAATAATCTACTTTGCGTGCGTTTCCTGTTGCGATTCTGTGTAAACCGAAATCCCCCGACTGTTCCATTCGCGAATGTAGATATATATTTGTTAGTTTAGGTATTTGGTATGGCTTGTTTATTTATGGGCGAAGCATTAACAGTCTGAAATCTTAATAAATTTATCTTGCGTCGAAATCAGGCAAACATCGGGTCTCATAAATTCGCGAAATTGAATAGCAAACGTCGCTTTTACGAGCGGGAAAAATCTCACGTTTCTTCTTTTAGAGACTTTATCTATTCAGTTCGTTCGCGATTTTCGCGACGAAGTTTCCGTTTATTCGATTTTTCCATCGTTTTCTATACATAATTTTTGACAGGCGTCAAGCTTAACATTAAAACTACCAGACGGGTAAAAGTGATGTCTACCATTCCTGATGTCTTTTTTTAGAATTATTGAAAAGATACCAAACGTTTCTCTCTCTCCCTTTCTGAGGAATTACTGAAGAAATTGATTTAGCACCACGCAAATTGAATTGTAAATCAATTGAAGTCTCAACAGATGCACTCTTGGAGTTGCTATAGAGAAATTTCAAAAGCTCAATTTAATTGCTCAGTGGTTTTAGTGTTAAGGCTTCACGTTGACCAACATTTTGATAAAAAGAGTGGATCATCAATTTCCCGTGCAATGATATTCGAAACCGAAGTTCTATTTGTATATATTATACTATCTAAATATATTATATTATTATTATATGTATATTTTGATATTGTTATTATAGTCAAACAAATTATTAGCCGTTCGATGCAAATAATATCACGGCGGTTTTAATAATCAAGTAACAATTAAAAATCGTGACGGAACGTGAATTCGAATACGAAACGATGAGCCGCATTCTGAAACGTATGGGAACACAGTCGTTTTTCTGTTTCCGTTATAATGGAATACATTTATCAATCCGCTTACACATTCTGCATGTTTCATATCTTTGATTATTACTTCCCTTTGTTCGCGACGTACAAAAAAAATTCCTCCGCAGGCTCCGATAATAACACTGAAAAAGCATCGTGAGTATCTCGGACTTGATTTACGATTGAATATTAATCGAGGGACAATCGATGGCGCTGCTTTCTATAATCTCATTGTCAAATACAGACAACGCGACTATAATGCTATGTATGTAGAAATCCGATTATTGTTTGTTTTCGCAATTACCGGCAACGATAAATAATAAATATACTAATCAGTGAGCATCCACTTCCACGTGCAACCGAATATTTCAATACTGCCGTTGCAGAATTAATTTTGTTTTACATCTTCGACTTTGTGCAACAGATTTGTTTGACAAATGGTAATAATAGCAATATTGTGAGTCAGTAATTTCTATATCCGTGCCATTGTATGTATTAATATGTATAATAACATAATAAATTATTTCAATAATACATACTGAATAATAAATAATCGATACAATAAGTATCGAAGTCGATAGCGTTCAATATCGATAAAACAAGTTTTTAATTGTACATCTTACGTTCAAGATGACGGATAATTCGAACGTCACAACGGGCACTAAATCTGAAAGATCGAATACGTGGTTAAAAAGATAAGTCATGATTTTATTTGTTTATGGTTAAAATAATAAGGTAAGATAGACCCAGGTGAATCACAGATTCCATTTGATGGTAATGGAAGAAAAATATTTCAACATTAACAATAAAAATTGGGAAAATAATTTTTAAATTTTTCTTTCGCAAATAAGGAACAACAAGCGAGAAATAGAATTTGTGGTACAGCAAATGTGGTGGATTGTTATTTTCATTCGATTCGCCATGGCCTATCCTATACGGATTTATTTATTCCTAATTATTATCTTGCGATTATGATTGCATCATGTAAGTGGGTAACGTATGAAGTACCGATTTAATTAAGATTCGTCTGGTTCGCGTGGAATTCTTTAACGAAAGTTGTAAACCACGA